GCCGCGGGCCGGGCTGGGGCGCGGGAGGGAGCGGAGCCGTTGGGGGGCCGGGGCTGTTTTCTTTGGCTTCCTTCCTTCGACCGTCCCAAATTGCAAGTAAACAATACGTCGCCTTTAGATAATGCGCGAGTCTGAAACTACCGAGGCCGGCCTGCGAGCTAGCTCGGAGGGCAGCCCGGGCCGCCAGCTTTGTAGCGGTTCCTGCTTACAAAAGGGTTCTTGGAGACCTGGCTGGTGGGGACCCCGGAGGGGGTGGGGTGGGGGACGTCTCCAGTTCCTAAGGGAGAGGCTGGGGCTGCTTGGAGCAGGCTTTCAGTGTGTGTAGTACGTGCGGGGTGGGGGGGATAGTCACGACCCCCCCCCATACACTGTTTTTGAAATAGTGGCGGAAAGAATCTAAGTAACCAGGATTCGGTATTCCGGTTCTTAAAAAAAAAAATTCCTCTTGGCTTATACGTCTTTTGTTCCAATCCAGGAGAAACCCGGTGAATCACCTAATTAAAATCGAGACATGAATTAAGCATCCATTTTTGTACTACAAATTGCCAGCGCTACGTTTGTCCCTCCCTTGGTCTCCATTAAAAAACACCAGAGACGTTGTTAAAGGGGGGCAGATTTTGCCTCTAGCTGGCACTTCTGCTTTCTATTTCACTGACTATCCCAGGACCTAAATTGCTTGGCTATGTAATTACTAGAGTATAAGCCTATTTAACTTAAAAGCTTTCTCTTTTTTTTTTTTTTCCAACTCTAAATGAAACTTGATGAGGCCCCGTCCTTAGTTATCAGGGGAGTCAGTTTCTGGTCAGTCCTCTTGATTCATCTCTTTTAGATTTAATCGGCATTAAGGTATTGCTTGTCCTTAAGAGCTTTAGCTAATGGGGTTACTGGATGCTTTTCAGTGTAATGTTTCCTTTTCAAAAAAAATATACATATATATTTACCTCTCACCGAAGAGGGGGGCTGGGAGCCGGCTAGGAATCTCCTCCCTCCTCCCCTTTTAAAAAGGAATTCGGAGCGATTAAAACGTTAAGGGGGAAACAGTTTAAAGACCTAGGGCAGGAAATGCAGATTCATTTGGGTTAGGGCTGAAATTGTAACAAAAAGCAATTCCTCGAGTAAATGCATCAGATAAATCAATTTACATAAAGGTATGATGCATTCGGATAAATGCAATGCTAATGGGTTTTAGAGTGGTCCTGTTTCCAAAGTCTCAGGGTTTTGTTACAGCTTAATTGGTGCAGTTCTTATTCTGGTTTATTGTGCGGTCACTGGACACACGTTCCGGGACTCTTTCGGAGGAAATGTGTTTAAAATCAGCCTATTTAAGGAACCCGAGTCCTTATTTCGTTCCCTCACCCTCGTTCTTTTGCAGCAGCCAAGTTGGGCCGGGGACAGGCAAAGTTGTCCTCTCCCTTCTGAGGTATCGGCAGAACGTCTTGAGCTGATAGCCCGGAGCCTGGGTGGGGGGTGGGGGGGAGCCCACACTCTCGGCTTACTGAGGACAAAGACAAAACAGGCTGCTTAATTGGCAGTAAATAACTTGATCTTTTTATAGAATAAGTGACTGGAGGAACACTAGGACTTTATTGGACTCAGAATTGGAGGCAACAAATTAATCGGTTTAGGCTAAGCTTTATAAATTGATTCCTATATTATAGCCAGTTGCTTCTCTTCTGGCATTTATTAGAAAGAGTGGGGAGTGTTTAAAAGCAGATTTTTGGTGACCGCAGGACTGGCTCAAATTTAACTTGTGCATCTCTTAATAGTGCCTTCTCGCTTATTATCTAGTCTTCCCCCACCCCAGCCCCCTTGGAGTAACAAAGCTTTAGCATTTAAATTGCTGATCAAGGGCAGATTAGTGAGACCAAAGTGGAGAGTGTTTGTATAGGAAGTTAACAGGCATCCTAAAGTTCAATGATCTATTATGCCTCCCTGTGTCCTGAAAACCCAGAGAAAACACTCATTGATCTTCTAAATGAAATGAGATTTGGAACAATAATGGGAGATGGCGGTCAGCACAATGGCATGTGAAAGGTGCTGTTTTAAAATACGAAAAACCAGTTTCGCAACTTTACCACCGCACCCCCCTCCTCCCGCCACCTCGCCTCCCCTCCCACCATCCGCACCACCACCACCACCTTGGTCTCCATCTCCCCTCGGCCGGTCCCTCCCTCCTTCCCTTGTCGAAAACCCAACTATTTCCAACTTGTGAACTGCAGCTGCACTTCCCCCGGCAGAGCTCGGGAGGGAGCGTGGCCGGGGCCGGTCCGCCGTTTGGAAACCCAGGAATCAGGCTGTGGGCTAGGGTTAGGGTTAAGATTGGTGAGCATGACCCGGACGGAATTCACCTTGCAGGTGGTTTGCCAGTGCGAGCGAAGGTGTAGGGGAGGAGCGCGCCGCCCAGCCTCGCTCTGGCTCGCGGAGTTTTGACAGTACCCGAGCCGAAATAGTCGGCGGCGCTCTCCGGAAAGTTGAGAGGAGCTCGTGGCCCTAGAACAAAGCTTGAGAAAAGTAAACAGGCGGCTGCTGCCGGCGAGCCTCGCTCCTTCCCTCTCCTGCTCAGCCTCCTTCCCGCAGCTCCGGGGGGAGGAGGGGAATGGGCTTGCGCGCTCTCTGGCCGGCGGTCCTAACTTTTGCATCGCCCGTTTTGTCTTTCTCTCCCTGTCCCCTTCCCGCCCTCTGCAGACCATGGTGAATCCGGGCAGCAGCTCGCAGCCGCCCCCGGTGACGGCCGGCTCCCTCTCCTGGAAGCGCTGCGCAGGCTGCGGGGGCAAGATTGCAGACCGCTTTCTGCTCTATGCCATGGACAGCTACTGGCACAGCCGGTGCCTCAAGTGCTCCTGCTGCCAGGCTCAGCTGGGCGACATCGGCACGTCCTGTTACACCAAGAGCGGCATGATCCTTTGCAGAAACGACTACATTAGGTAAGTCTGCTGTCTTTCCCCGAGATGGGCGAGCAAAGCAGTGGCAAGGCCAAAGGTTATCAGGGTTTTGGAGGAAAGCAGCGGACACCTCTGGGAATTCATGACAGCCTGCACCTCAGAAACCTTCTGGTGGGTGAAATCTAAGGTGTTCAGGAAGCATGTGTTAGCTTTCCAGTATGTGATGCGGAATTCGGGGCAGTGCCATACTGAGTACAAATTCCCCGCTGGTTGAGAGTGGGCTGTTACGCGCGCAATAGTTGAGCATCGGTCGGACCAAAATTCTGAGTGGTCAGCCTTAACTGGACTTCAGGATCAAAATAAGCATTTCAGGTGACAGTTAAGCTGTTCTGTTAAGGCAAGGAAGGTGGGGAGCAGAGAAACTCAGACAAAAAGGCTGACTTAAAAATAAAAGTGTAGATAGTGAGAAGTTATTTGTCTGTAGTGGCGGTGGCTACTTATGATATTTACATAAGCACCTATAAACTTTCTTGAGTGGAAAACTGCGACTCATTCTTCATGTTCCTTGTGAAAAATGCTGATTACCCACCAGTTTAAAGACTTGTCATTCTTTTTATAGCAAAAAACTAAAATAAAAACCTAATGGTAGTGTTTCTCTTCATACTATTAATGCAGGAGGTTTGGTATGTTCATTATTAGTGTGTGGTTTGTGATGTCGAATTTGTAGTTTTTCTCGTTTGAGGAATGTTCGGGTTTGGGTTTTTTTTTTTTTGTTGTTGTTGTCAATTGTAGCACTGCCCTTGATCCCCAAGAGATTTAGAAAAACAGGCTATAGAATTATACTAATCTTGCATTTTAAAGCGTTGTATAGGAACATTCATATGTCTGTGTAAGCAGTCTTTTCCAACAAGTTTCAGTGCAATTAATGGAAAGAATTCAGGAGGTCAGGTGCCTATAGGATCTTTTCAGGTGAATTCAAGCTACTTAAACTCATTAATTTGAAAGGAGGCATTTGAAGGATTACACATTTAATTTGAGTAAATGGTTTGATAGACTGATGCACATGAATGCTTCTAGGAGGTGTTCTGTTTCAACATCCAGTAATTAAAAAAAAAAAAAAAAAAACCCACACGCACACTGCTGGTACTAGAGAACCACACACTTTCAAGAATTTCATTCTGTTTGAATTTCTTCTTTAAACCTCTTTCTTCTTAGGGATTAGCAGAAATTTTCATTTTTTCTTCAGAGTGGGTATATCAGTGGATGACATATTTTGTTCAAAGTTTAGTTCCATTGTGATTCATCTCACCCTCCAGCTGATGCTGCAAAATATCCCAGTGCAGTTCAGGGATGAGTGTGGGTGTGTTTGCCCCAGTGATAGCATTAGTGCAAAATGGTGGAGTAAGACGACCTTTGGTTGGTTGGATAATGCAACCTCTGTCCACTCTGCTGGCATCCTCAATCCGTCAAGTGAAAGAAACATAGGAAGGGAGAGGGCTTTTATTTTTAAATTAAGATGGCTGAATTAATTTCACTAAGTGTTCTTATAGAAGTAGATGTTCGAAAGTCAGCAAGAGAATGAATGGATGTAATGCTTTCTGGTCCTCCTTCCAAGCGATACCATGAGCTTTGACGGTATTGTAATTAAAAAGAGAGCAAAATTATGATAAGAAAGGTGGGTAGGAGTGGAAAAATTGACATTGCAGTTAAGATTGGGCGAATGGTATGGTTTCATCTCATCCTCATAGTACCTTCCAAAAAGAAAGAAAAAGAAAAAAAGGAAAAAACATTCACTCGTGATTACCACTAATTATAAAGAAGATGGATCCACTTGAATTCCCTCAGGACAAGTTTAGGCAAGTGACTTTCTGGGAATCTCAGCTATTCCTTTACCTATTCTTGGGGCCAAAATACAAATGTCCATTTGGTATGTGGGAGAAAGGTGAAGATGTGTCCAGTACTGAGCCTTAATTAATCTTCAGGTTCACTTTGTGTTTGCCCCAGAGTTTGGGAACTGGAGTTAGGCTTGTTCTTAAAGTAGATGCCACCCTGAGAATCTTGGATCTGTCCAGGAGATGAGCTCTATTTCAGTTACCAAATGGATCATCAACTTATAGTTTACTCTGGGTTCACCAGCTGCCAAGGCCCCCCACCTCACCAGTGACCCCTCCTGCTGTCCAAGGTGCCCAAGGGGTAGGAAGGTGGAGGAGGTGCTTTCGGTCCTTTTCCTCCCAGCTACCCCCTCCCCAGACTCCCCCAGGTCCACTTGTTGGCAGAGCTTTCAATCCGACTGGACAGCAGGAGAGTGGAGTGATCCACTCGCAGTTAGCAGGTGAGGAGGACCCCTCGGCCTGGCTGAGACCGCAGCTTTTATTAAGGAGCTTTAAAACTGTCTGACTTTTGAGATTGTTTTATGTGTTTTAAAGCAACCAAGATTGATGGAGAATCTGGAAAGGCTGGGGTGGGGATTGGGTAGGAAGGTAGGGGGTACATTTTCAGCCAGAGCCCTCCCACTCCATGGCTGAATATCCATTGGGCAGAGCTGGGCTTCTGCCTCCTCTCCCTCCTAGATTTCAGATAAAGCGGCTGCCTTGCTGCAGAGAATCCGCACAATTAAAAGCTTTAATTAGTAGCTCCTCCATTTTCTTAGTTCTGATGGGCTTTATCTAATGAGATCTGGTCTCTGGCTTAGATCTGCTCCGAATGACGTGTCCGCAATGAATGAGAGCTGCGTCGCAAACAAAACATTTAATTAACAAAATTGGCCTCTAAGAGAGAGGGAAAGGTTGGGGGGGGGGGGTAGAAAAGAGGGGGAGGGGGGATCTTAAAGGGGCCAACTCCTGCCCCTCCCCTTAGAAAAGTCCACGAACCTTGGAACTGGCCCCCTCCCACGACTCCCGACCAAGTAGCTTGAGAAACTCGGGTTCTCCTTCCTCCAACCTTTCCTCCACCCCCATCTGGGGACCGAAGATCAGCTCGGAAAGTGCAGCGAAGGAGGAAGTTCGGGACCGTAGAGATGGACGGGTGGGAGTGCAGGTCCTGGGAGGGCAAGGGCGAGGAAACGCGAGGCAAGGCCGGTGGTGGGCATCGGGTGGCCGGCATCGCGGAGCCCTTCTCCCGCTGCCCGAGGCCTTGGCC